TCCCTATTCACTGTCCAACTCTCTGATGCAAAGCACATAATTGTGAAGACTATAGCCTGGATCAGGCCCACCTTAGTCTCCAGCCTGATGTCATTGCTCTTCTGTACTCTTGAGCGGTCCCTCACAGCTGACTTTCCCAATGCAATTGGTCTCTTGGTTTCCTGGCTGTGGTAGTAGTTAACTGTAATGTATAATGCATGATAAAGCAGTTAAACAGCTTGGTTTTTAAGGAACTCTCCCTAAAAATTAATTTAACTGTTTTTTGAAAGCAATTTAATGGGCATTTTAAAATCTTATTTTTAAACTTTGCCGTATATACTATGTATACTGTGTGTTCATTTTTTATATTTTTATTGTTACACTGGTTTATTTACAAAATTTGAATACCTTGTTTTCCAGAACAGATTTCTTCTAATTTTCCTTACCAGCACCCCCATCAAATGTGCATGTTCATTTTTATTCTTTGATCCTGGATTTAAATTGAAGGTTTGCTTTCAATTAAAGAGTTTTCCACTTTAGTACATGGAAAGTTGTTGTTGTTGTTATGTACTGTCAAATTGCCTGCAACTTATAGTGACCCTATGTACAATAGCCCTAAACTCTGCTCTGTCCTGTGCCAATCTTACTGTCTCTGATACACCTAACCACACTACCCCAGTCACTGAATCAACCCATCTCATCAAGAGTCTTTCTCTCCTGTGCTGCCCCTCAGTCCTCCCAAGCATGACGTCCCTCTCCAAGGACTGGCCCCACCTCCTAACATGTCCAAAGTATGTCAGAAGAAGCTTCAGAATCCTTGCCTCCCAAGGAGCAGCCTAGTTTCACCCTCTCTAGGATGAACCTATTTTTTTCTCCTAGCAGTCCATGGTGTATTCAGTACTTTCCCCCAGACCCACAGCTCAAAGCCATCAACTCTCCTTCTATCATTCCTAGTCATTGTCCAGCTTTCTGATGCATAATACGTAATTGCAAGGACTATGGCCTGGATCAAGCACACCTTAGTCTGCAGATAAACATCATTGCTCTTCAGTACTCTGGAGATGTCCCTGACAGCAGACTTTCCCAATACAATTTGTCTTTTTATTTCCTGGCTGCTGGTACCAAGAGTGTTGATTGTGGAGCTAAACAAACTAAAGCTGTAAACGATCTCAGTCTCTTCATTATCTATCATGATGCTGCCAATCAGCCCAGTGGTGAGAATCTTTGTTTTCTTGATGTTAAACTTCATTCTATATTGAAGGATACAGTCCTTGACCTTCTACAGCAAGTGTTTCAGGTCCTCCTCAGTTTCAGCAAGCAGAGTGTGTTGTCTGCATAATACATATTGTTGATGAGTCTTCCCTCAATCCTGATGCTACATTTCCTCTCAGAGCCCAGTCTCCTTGATACTTGCCTGATTTTTATGTGTGTGTATAAATATATACTGTATGTGTATTTCTATGCATGAGTGCCTAAAAAAGATGATCATAACCAAGACTGTCACTATTAAATAATCTTTCCCTTGAGGAAATCTTGAGTTACCTAACAAATGAAAGATACATAACTTCTATATATGATCCAACATCATTGTAATTTCTACTTGGTCAATTAAAAAGCAATCAGTCAAATGGGATTGTGGAGACCAGAATCCAACTTCCCTTACTGCATCATTTTTCCTTTTTTTTTTTTCCCAATCCCTATGGAATCTAAGTATATATCATTATATGCAATGACCATCCCAGAATCTTTCTCCCATAACGTTCCTAGCAATCAACCAGAACTATCTATAGGTCACAATATTCTAGTATAAACAAAAGAGAATGCTTTCAGGGCCTCGTAGTTAGCTCCCTTCATGTCTCCTGACAAAGTGCCTGAAAGTGGCTCCTCTTCCCTTTGTTCGGCAACAAAAAGGTGGCCTTGAAGAATATCAGGTAAAATGGAGTTTTAAGTTTCACAATCAGATTAAGGGCTTTATAATCTATTGCAAAACATCAAAATTATCCAGTGTCTAGTAAAGTACTACAATTTGGTTTTTATTTTCTTAACTATTCATTTGAAAGGTCCATTCAGTTGTTAATTCTGATATTTGTTGTTGTAGTTCAAAAGCAATAATTCTAGTAACAGAATGTATATTTTTTATTTACTACACACAACTCTTTCAAGTTTGTAATTATGAGGTTACACTTAATTTAAGTGTATACACAAAAAGAGTAAGCCATTTATCTAAAATATAAAACTTCTTAGAAGAGTTTAATAAGAAGAGCACCAAGTTTAAGAATAATAAATGATAACTTGAAAGAAGAAAAGTGTTAAGTATGAAGGCCTTACAATGTTATTATCTTCAAATTTTTATGGCAAATTTATAAGTTAAAAGTTAGCAACAAGTTTAAAAATTATAACTCCATTTAATATTCTAGTTTTCATTTTTTAACAAAGATTTTTGAATTATGACAGAATCTGTAGTTTTCTTCAGAGACATGATGAACAATTTTGTTGTTTCCTCTTTATTTTGTTACAGTAATTTAGCCTCATTTAAAATAATTTCTAGGGTAGTTTATAAAATTCAAGTTATTCATAATTATTGCTATTGTAATTACTTTGATAAACATGAAAATAAAGTATTATTTTGCATATAACTGATTATTTTTCTTCTAGGTGTGATTTCTTACACAGAATATCTTTTTCTTTTATGTATTTTAACAAGTAAGTATACTTATTAAATCTGTTATGCATACAGTTTCATATATAGTCAGAACCTTGGAAAACAAATCTTTTATACTCATTTGAAAATCACTTTAAATATATCCATGTGGTTTTGTAAATTCATGTCAGAATACTATATGAAAATATTAAGCATAGCACTACCACATGTCAAACACATAATTCATATTCTTTTAATAAATATATATGTTACTAAATAATATTACAGCATTAATATTATATTCATAAATTATAAATTTTTTGTGGTGTTGATCTTTGTTTTCATGTAAAATAAACTATAACAGATTTCAAGGACTAGGAGTAGTTCTTGTACTAGCATCATGCCTTTAGCAATTAGACTGTTTTATGTTGTGCTAAACTGGAAAGCTTCCGTGAAGACGCAGATCGTAGTCGTGATGAGCACCGCCATAAGAATTAGGGGAGGGCAGTGTCAGGTTAGCTGTTTAACCAAAACAATTTTGTACAAAATTTGGAAGATTTATGTATAAAACAACACAGTGCTAGAGAAAATAAGGACATTGTGGGTTAGGAAAGCCAGTTGTTGAAATGGCAGAAGGTATGAGTTAAAGATGTGACACAGTAGCTCTTGCTGAAGAAAGGTTTAAATCTTTGGTATCTATGAACTTCCTCTGGAGTTTAGAGCCCATCTGTAGATGTTTCTTGAGAATCTAATTGAAAAATTATAAGAGATTGTTCAGATCAGAGTAAGAAAAACCATGAAAAAATGTTTTCTAAGAATAGACTGCACAGGGCTCAGTAGGGGATGTGTAAGCACGTGTAGAAAAGCTGACCTAGAACCAAATATTCCCACCAATAATGTCCTCCCAGACCACTTGGGATGGCAACAACTTGACAGCAATTTGTAAGCAATTTTTCAATGATCTGTCTGATTCTATCATGTTTTCTTAACATGATAACTTAGAAAATGAACAACCTTTGTATTGGTTTAGTCTGGAAGGGTACATTGCTTTTTACTTACTGCAATTTTAAATATGCCCACTTAGTAATTGGAACAAGTTAAACTGTTCTTAACTAGAAGTAGTTTGGCCACTTTATTTTATTTTTGTTAGATCTCAACCCCCTTGTGATAGTCCCCGTCAGACGGTGCTGTGTTGCAAATGCAGTGCCATTTTAAACCATTTTACCAGAATCTTCCGGCAACTCCTTTTATAGCTACTTTTGCCCATAAATGAAACATTGTCACAGTAGATTGCTTAAATGCCCCTATTTTCACCCCAAGAGCCATTACTTTATGTGTAATAAATGGTAGTGTTTGGAACGGAAAAAAAAAAGAATAGACTGCACAATCATTGATTAATCTCTGTTATGTATCTACATATATGTTCTTTTTACCTTTAATGATTTTTTGCTTTAAAACAGTGCTTTTTAAGGTTTTTTTAAAGCTTAAAATTTAGTCATTCGATATGGTCTCACTTTCTTTCCCACTTTGTTTAGTGAATGATAAATTAAGATTAGAGTGCTAAAGTACATGGAAGAATTGAGTTTGCATCAAGGACTGGTTTCCATTCCTATTCTTTTCAAAGGTATCTATTACTGATTAAGAAGCTAGGGCTATTTACTTTTTTACTGGTTAGAGCATTTTGCAACTGGGAGTGCCAAGTGTGTATGTGTGAGGTCTCTTTTTAAATTTATTGCCAGTCATCTGAGATATTTTAAGAAAGGCATACACACTGAGAAGCTCCTTAAAGGAGTCTTTCGGGTTTTCTTCTATACAATTTTTCTTCTTTATATTTCATATGAAAAAAAGAAAGAGGAAAGGGATTGGGCTTTATTATAAAATTCATGAAATTAAAGTAGTTCATAGTTTATGAAAACTTGTCTTTCTCAGAAAACCAATTGTTCCTTGTATTTTGCAGAGTTGGGATATTTTATCTTTCTCTTTTGTGAAGTTTCTAAAGTCTAAGCCCCCACATAGAAACTGTATGAAAAATACCAAAGATTTCCCTCTCACTTTTTTCATGGTACTAGAATTATACTTCAAATAATTATATTAAAATTGACTATCTTGTGTCATACCAATGTCTGTAATCTTTAATTTGTTAGATAAAAACAATTTGTGCACTGTAACCAAACCCTACAAAAAAGCTCATTATTTTATAACCTCTTGTATTGCTTGACATTTATACTTAAAGGTTATTTTAGTCATAATTTTTTTTATAATTTGGAATCATTCATGTATACTTCACATTTCTTATTTTTCTTTTTTTCTAGTACTCTCAAGAGCTTAATATATTGAAAGTATTTCAGCAATGGCTAGCTGATATTTTTCTTTGAAACAAACTGATAGACTTGGATAAAAAATAGAAATATGTATTTTTTAGAAGCAAAGTAGTCAGTTTTATCTGATGGTGGTATTAAGGAGCCTCACACAGTACTCTTTAAAGTATATTATCAATTATTAAGTATGCTACCATATGAATTGGTAGTATTCAGACTTTCATATTTTATGTAACTAATTGTAGCAGGTTACCTGTAGTACTCTTTAATAAAGTATTTCTACTGTATCTTGCTGTGCAGAGGTAATTTGTGCTTGTGTGAAGCTGAACACTGCGACACTGGTGCCAAATGTGATAATGGTTACCCATGGTGGACAGGTTTTGGTGGAGCTTCCTGATTAAAACAAGCCTGGAAGCAGGAGGGACATCCACTTCCAAAATGGCTTGCCTCCGGAGACTCTATGAACAGTGCTCAGGTCTTTCATTCATAGGGTCACTATGAATCGTCTACAATTCAGCTGCACTTAACAACAACAACAGTATAAACATGGGTAACCTCTTAAAACTGATACAGACTTTCTGCTTGAATATACATTTTTCCTTTCATGAATATTACTTGTTTGTTTTTTTCTGACAGAGCCACATGCGGGTTTTAGAATAGCTTTCAACATGTTTGACACTGATGGCAATGAGATGGTGGATAAAAAGGAATTTTTGGTGGTATGTATATGATGGTCCCATTTTTATCATTAATTAAACATTACTTATATTTGTGTGCTTTATGTTATTAGGAATAAATACTATTGTGAAGGGAAAATAATGAAAGTTTTTTATTACTTCATTTTAAGTTTATGAAGTATAGATTCATGTACTACTTTGACTAATATTTCCATTATTACAGTATAAATTGAATTCTGTGGGTAATAACGATTATAATAATTTACACATTATCCTTTCCATTTAAAATATGTCTCGTATTTTCTGTGGTGGCCATACAGACAATTCTAGGTTACAAGTTCCCAGTGAATACTTAATGTCTATCATTCCATGACAACTGCTTGCCATGGAGATTTTACTTTATTCTCCTTGAAGCACTTAACAACTTTTATTCTTTTCTTATTCGTTCAGGCTTATACACCTGCCATGTCCTCTTTTTTCCTGTTCCTTTTTCCTATCTTTGATCAAAAGCTATTCGAAAGCAGAAAGAGTAAGATTGTCCTTCGATACTTCCTTCCCTTTCTTACCCAACCAGTCCAGCCTTAGAGCTGGTGACGCTGATGAGACTTAAGCTGCTCGCTTATCTTAATGTGACCCTCCTTTCTCCACTTGAATGGTTTCTTATTTTTCTGTCTAGGTACCTCACATCTGCTCTTGGGGCAAAAATCTGGTTGTGTTTTTTTGGTTTTTTTTCTCTGATTAGAAAGTTATGAAATTTATTCCTTAGCAAGCGAGGCTACTCCTAACATTCACATTCAACTCTTCCTTTATGTATTATACTCTTCTTGTAAAGAGACTATTTTGGGCATTTTATTTTGAAATGGAACTACTGACATTTGTATAGAAATAGAAAAAGAAGAGAAGAGCTAGTACATGAGCAGGCCATTTTTTTTCTGTGTAACAAGCCATAGGGCTGGCTGGCTAGTGTCTCAATGGCGGTCTCATCTTGAGGGTAGTCACATAAGGGAAGTTTCTGGGGCCGTGTTTGTTGTGTGTTAATGTTCTTTTTTTGCCCTCAAAAGTGGATGGCCCTTGAGGTATTAATTTATAATATTTTTTTCCACTCTACAATTTTGCAAACACTATTTTTTTTAACTACAGTGTATTCACATAAGGTAAGAAGTAGATGTACAGAAACTCATACAGGATATTTGAGCCTTGAATGGTTTCCCTTTCAGCTTCAAGAGATATTCAGGAAAAAGAATGAAAAAAGAGAAACTAAAGGAGATGAGGAAAAACGTGCATTGCTGGTAAGGATAGTATATAGTTTCAGGTGGGTTTTCCTGGTAAGATTTATTTCTTTATATTGGGCAACAATAGTTAAAGTTTGTAACTTTGGACATGTCCCTTATAAACTTTCTAATGCTTCAGCATGTACATGCATTGATATCAATATTTATGTCAAATATTGATATTGAACATCTGTATCCATAATCATTCCTTAAATTATTTTCATCACAGTTGTTGTTATCCATGAGATTTGAAGGGTATATCATATAGATTAATACAGATCATTATGCATCTAAAATTTAAAGGTGAATTGCAAAGATTTAATTATAAATGTGAATGAATTTAATGATGATATAACAGTATGAATCTTAGATCAAGTACAAGGAATATGTGCCCTGCATTCTTTGAAATATGTATAATAGATTCTTCTGATAGGTTATATTTTCCTTACTCTGAAGTTAGTTAAATGATACTTTAGCTTCTGATCAGTTTTCTTTTTTTTTGCTTTTGCCATGTATTTCATCCTGATGGTAGGCAAATTCACGATATCATACTGCCAGGTTCTATACTAGGTGATCTGCATATATTTTCTCAACTCATTTACCCAGTGACTAAGTCCTGTGTTACAGTCCCATAACTGAAAAATTTTTTTAAGAATATTAAGAAATATGCTCAACCAAACAGCTGCACCTCTCTGGAGGTTTGAATGCACCAACAGCTCTGAAGGAGAAAGGTAGGCAGTCTCCCCTTACACGATTCACAGCCTCAGAAACCTGATGCAAAGTCAACTACAAGTAACTCCTAAGCTCCATGGCAATATGTTAGCATTTGAGGAATTTGAATTTATTCTCCTAAACTGTGAGAAAATACATTTCTATTTGTTGAAGAAAAAAAACAAAAAATATTAAGAAACAAAGCTAGATGATAATTGAATAGATTATTACGTTTTCTTTAGATACTATATTAAAAATGGTAAGGAGTTATTTGAATTTTTTTAGGTTGCCTCCAATTATAATCAACAGGCTAGGTAAACTTTTATAAACTGCCCTTTAGAATCCCATTGCCATTGAGTCAATTCTGGCTCATAGTGAGATGTTAGAACTGATTATACCTGCCTTATATGATTTCTAAGGCCATGCTATCCCGCAGCACAGATCACTATATGTTTCTCCTCTGGAATAAATTGTTGGGTTGGAGTGCCGGCCTTTCTGTTAGCGGTCAAATTCTTAACCACTACACACCAATGTTCTTTGGCAACAACATAAACAACACAAAACAAGACAAAAACCCAAACAAATTCACTGTGGTCAAGTCCAACTCAAAGATTTCTAGTCTAGAAACCTTTATTGGGTTTATAGGCTAAAAAATCCTTTCTTAGAAAACTCAGTAAGATTTTCTAGGCTAAAATCTTCATCGGAAGAGACTGCCGGTGATTCTCCTGCAGAGCAGCTGGTGAATTTGAAATGTTGACCTTTGCTTAAAAGCCTGCTAGAACTCCTTTGCAGTGTTCTGATTGAGGTAAATCCTAGTGGAAACAAATTGTCTCATCTTTCTCTGACAAAGCAGTTAGTGCATTTGAACCACTATGTTTCAGTTAGCAGCCCAATATCTAATCCTCTTTGTCACTGGGGCTCTTACTTTAAATAAATAGTGTAAAATAAAATTTAATCAGTTCAAATTGACATCACTTAAAATGTAACAGTTTATAGTAAATTACCACTAACAATCTGCAACAATATCATTCAACTACAAATATTATAATAATGAAAATATATGATGGCATTATAGAGGCTCAGGAACAAGAATTTTCTGGGTTTGAAGAGGGTCACAAGCTCAGGAATAAGGTTTTCTGAGGTTCAGATCCTATATTACCCCCCATTACTAAATCCTTGTCCTCTTTATAATTCAGTTTTTTATTTGCCTGTAAGGCTAATAGTAGTAATGGCCACAAATGACTGTTAGGAGTTTAAATGAGCTAAAAGCTCATGGCTACTTAGTAATTAATTGCCAGTGAATTGGAACTGACTCATAGCTGACCCGCCAGTGGGTTTTTGATAGACTATAAATCACATGGAAGGAGATTGCCTGTCTTTCTCCTGAGGAGTGCCTTAGTGGATCCAAACTGCCAGAGAGTCATGGCCTTTGGTTTAGCATCACAACTCCCTACAGACTACACTGCCAGAACTCCCTATTGGTTACTTAATAGTATATGAAATATAATGAACACTCAGAAAGGTTAGCTAATAATAATACTTAAAGTTCTTCAAGCAGAATACTTAAAACTAAATTAAAATATTTACATAAATGAAAAGTGACTATACTTTGGGGGAAAAGAAGGAATATAACATTTCTTGAGAAGTTACGTATGTGCTCTGCTCTATGCTAGATCCATCATAAATGCTTTACCCCTATAGTCCCCACTACAGTTCTGTCAGGTAAGTATCATGCCTGCTTTATGGGTGAGAAAGCTAATTAGAGAGGTTAATTGACTTGCCCCAAATACCAATATTACTAAGAGTAAAACCAAGATTCCAGTACAGGTCTCTCATACCATTTCCACTGCCATGCTGCTGCATCTAGGTTATCCCCTATTCCATTGTGTCTAAATAAAACTGCGTACATGTTTTTCTAATAGGACCCTGTTTTACTCATAAAAGGTTCTATCAGAAGGTAATAATGAAAATGTATGAATGCAGATTCATTTAATTATGTTAATTGTATGAGATTTTAAAAGCTTTGCTACTCATCTTTAACATTTATACCACTTGTGTGTGCTCAATATAAAATGTAGCATAATGATTTGCCCTTCCTAATTGATTATTTTGTCATCTTTTTCTTTTTTTCTTTTGCTATACTTGGGTTCATTCTGAAATGTGACACTTCATTTGGCCCTTTGTGCTCTATGTCAGCGTCTTCAACTATATGGATACCATTCTTCTACTAATAGTGTATGTACAATACTTTAAATGTTCTTTATGTATATAGCCTTCACCTGTTAATACTTGGTAACATTATTTATGTGAAGTTATCTCTGCTATTTATAATGATTAGGAGTTTATTGAATACAATAAGATGCTATCAACCCATAATCATACTTTTCTTTGTCATATTATGAGCACACTAAAAATGTATAGTGCAAGCATAAGTTTATAATTTTAGTTTAAAACAAGAAAAAGTTCAATAAGCAACAGTAACTAACAGATTAAAAACTCTGGTAGGATAATTTAAGTTTTATATTTTTCAACTCTGAAGAGCTATGAACAAAGTATGGAGCAGATTCTCAGTCTGTGTGCCTGCACACTCTAACTATTTTAAGAACTGGATCTGTCCAATGTATATAATTTTTTCCAGTTCTAATAAAGAGATATATTAATGGATAGAATTTCCTGAGTTAGTGTTTCTCCCAAATTTGCCCTGAAAGTTTTGTTGCCTACTATTTATGATTGATATAAGACTCTATTATAAATTGGTACTTTATCAGATTTGTGTTAAATATATCAGTATATTTTAAAGAGAACTATTATTTTCAGACTCATCTGGTTTTTTAAGAAGTTAGAAAGTTCCTGTAAATTAGTTTCTAAATTATCTGTCCTTCTCATCATGCTTAGCTTTCTTTTTCTCTGTTCTCTTGGGGAAAATTGTAATTTGTTAATTAACCTGATGCTAAGTAAGAATAGACCGTGACCTCAGTTAAACATGAACATACATAACTCATTCAATTTCTCCAAAGTTTCTTCCTCCCTTGCAAAGATCCTTCCTCATTCAGAAAATTCCTCAAAATATTCCTAAAAGAGCTACCTCTGAAGCTCTTGAATTCTAGGTGGTTGACACAATATTGTGCTGCTCAAAGTATGCAGTGTTAATAGGACACAATTCTAAAAGCAAATCGATTGCCTCCTGCATTGAATAGTTCAGCAAAATTGCAAACACTAAAAGTAACCCTCTCCTAGATTAAAAACTGGAGGGCAATTCAGAATAAAGTATATCCAGAACATTTTACCTAAGTGGCAAGAAATGGGCATAGACAGATATCTTAGATTGAGAAACATGCCAACTCCATAGGACCCTTGTTTTTAGGTGGCATTGGATCTACCATAGTGACCCTGTCAACAACAGGTAGAAGCCTTACCCTGTGTTGTGTCATCTGCCATGTTTAAGCTCATTGTTGCAGTCACTGTGTCAGTCTATCTTATTGAGGATCTTCCTCTCTTTTGCTGTCCCTCTACCTTTTTTTATTCTGAGGTCTTTTTGAAAGGACTGGACTCCCCCTGGAAATATGTCCAAAATATGTGAATCAGAGTTTCATATTCTGACCTCTAAAGATCATTCTGGTAGCAGTTCCTTCTAGACATACTTGTGTGGTTTTTTTTTTACAGTCTCTGGGCTATTCAGTATTCTTCCCCAGCGTCACTGGTGTTCTAACGCATTGCCCAACTTTTAGATTCATAGGAAACAATTAAAACCACCATGGCTTGGATCAAGCACACCTTAGTCCTGAAACTGGCATCCTTACTCTTTAGCACTTCAGAGAGATTATTGACAGGAGATTTTCCCAATGAAATAAGTATTTTGATTTCTTGACTGCTGCTGCCATGGCTGTTGATAGTGGATTTAAGTTAAATCATTGACAACATCAGTCATTTCTCCATTTATCATGATGTTGTCTATTGGTCCAATTGTGAGAAGTTTACTTTCTTGATGTTCAGTGTAATCCATTTTGAATACTGCTGTCTTTTTATCTTCTTCAGTTGTGTTGCATATCTTTCTCAGTTTCTGTAAGCAAGGTTTATTTCATCTGCCTAACATGGGTTATTCTAATCTAATGGGTCATTTCATCAACTGTTTTCCTATCAGGGCAACATTTACTTTTCCTTTAAACTCATAGCTGTTATTTATATAGTTTTAAAAGTATATCTCAGAATGATATTAAGAGGAAATATTTCCCAATATAACTTTAGTTTCTTGAAAGAACAGCGAGAATGATCTTAGAAACAAAGATGATGGAACTGTGTCTCACATAGTCTGAGTGTATTATCATATGATAGGTCAGCAAAAAAGAGAAAGACCTTCAACAAATGGCTGCAGCAATGTGTTTAAGCACAAAAGAAATTTTAAGGATGATGCAGGATTGGGAAGAGTTACATACAAAAGGCGGCTATGAATCAGATCTGACTTGACAGCACCTTATAACTGGAGTTTTAGTGTCAGGTATATACATAAACAAATCCCAGCCACTCAGACATTAAGAGAATAAAGTTAATAGATTTAAATTGCTTGGTTTTTTTAATATTATGCTTGCTTAATGGGGAAAGTCATTTTAGGATTTTGCATTTTTTTTACAAGTTGTTTTTTACTTGAGTTTATAGTGAGAGTTTCTCTCGTTAAGATGAAATTCCTTCAAGATAGCAGTTGACTCATTTGGCTTATGTTATAGAGATTCTGTGGCTTCTGTAATGGATTATCCAAAAATTTAGTTACTTTAATCGATTCTGGTGGCTTAGTGGTAAAGTGTCGTGCTGCCAGCCTGAAGGCTTGCAATGTACCTTCACCAGCTGCTCTGTAGGAGAAAGATGGGCAGTCTCTTCCCATACAATTTACTGCCTTTGAAAAGCTGTAGGAAGGTCAGCTATGAGTTGGTTTCATCTCGACAGTACATAACAACACCACCAACGAATATTCAATAAACTTGTTTCTTTGAATTCAATAACTGTGTCTTTGAAATTTTGGCATACTCTTTTGTAACGCCTTCTTTGTTTGAAATAATTCTTTTCATGTTTCTTCTATAGCCCACTCCTATTATCTGTCTAACAATATGGGAAGGAACATAAAAATTCAAAACAACAATAATGCAAAAGTCTATTTTTATTTTAAAAAATATTTATCATGAGATTAATTCCATTGTAGCAAAAATTTCATCAATTTTTTGTTGAGATATATTGAGCTTTGTTTTATTATGGGCTTGAAACAATGTTGGTATTCATAAAAGGTCTCTATTTACAAAGTCTGTATTCCTCTCCAATTTGGCATACAGAATTCTGTAGTAAGTAAAACAAGTATGCTGATCATCTGTTCTAAATCTTCCCTAGCATTACTAATTTTTTAATTGACTTTATCTAATGGATTCTAAATTACACATTATGATAGATTTATCTATTTTAGCTTGTAACCAATTTATGCTGTATGTATTTTGTAACTTTTTTCTGTATAAAAATAATAGATTAATTATGTTAATTGATTCCAGATATCCATAAATATGTTTGCCTTAAAATCTATTTTTTATTTGTATGTACTTGTAAATATACCACTTTTCTCTTGTTGAAGAGTCAGTTCTGATTCATAGCTGACCCTCTACTGGCTTTCCACAGCTATAAATCACACAGGAAGAAATTGCTTCTTTTTTTTTTCTTACATGAAGCTGCTGGTGGATTTGAACTGCCCAAGAAACTTGACTTTTGAATTACCAAACTTGCCATGGAACACACCACCAGAGTTTCTTTTACTTTGTATTTTTTATGTAGGAGGCCCCATTGTTGCTGTGTACCACTGAGTCAGAACCATAGCTGGTTTTCAGAGGCAGTGTAATAGCACAGGATTGCCTATAAAATGGCAAAACTTCAATTATTTTTAATTTTATTATATATTTATAATAAACTTCTAAATTGAAAAATCAAGGAAAGCATGGTCACTAAATATCAAGTAAAATAGATTTTAAGGCAAACATATTTATGGATATCTGGAATCAGTTCACATAATTAATCTATTATTTTTATACAGAAAGAAGTTACAAAATACACAAAGCATAAATTGAGTTACAAGCTAAAATAGATAAATCTATCATAATGTGTAATTTAGAATCCACAAGATTGCTCATCTTTCTCCTGCTGAGCAGCAGGTGGATTTGAACCTCATGCCTTCAGGATTTCAGCACTAGGCCACCAGAGCTCCCTTAGAAGGCCCTAGGTATAAATAGTTTAAGCATTTAAATACTAGCCACTAGTGGTTCAAACCCACTGAGACACTTTAGAAGACAGACCAGACAATGTTTTCAGAAGGTCATAATGTTGAAACTTGTTAACACATCTAGTCTACACACATAAGAGAGCCCTTGTGGGTTAGTGGTAAGGAATTACAATACCATCCCAAAGGTATATGGAATTACACTACCAGCTCAGCAGCTCCATGGAAGAAAGATGGGCATTCGTGTCCTTTGCAGTTTACTGCCTCTGAAAACCCAGTGGAGGGTCAGCCATGGGTCAGTTCCAACACAGCGGTACGTACACAACGACAGTAGCGACCCACAGGGATGCTGTGAATTAGAAACAGCTCTGTGGCTGCTAACAACGTAAAAGTGTTTGCTTCATTTTACTTGATATTTAGTGACCATGCTTTCCTTGATTTTTCAATTTTTTTAAAATTTAGTTTATTATAAATATATAATAAAATTAAAAATAATTAAAGTTTTGCCATTTATAGGTCAAGAAATAGTATAGTTCCAACCCAAGAGGCTCCTCTGTTTGTGCCTTCAGTTATGATTTTTTGTTAATCTCTTCCTTGATTTGCTTTGTAGTTTTACTACCTACTTAGGCATCCTAAACAATATAGTTCCCTTGTACCAATTATGTGTGTTCACATAAATGGAATGATTATATGAATTTTTCTGTGTTGTTTTTGGTTAAGCATTGTGATTGTCAATTTCATCTCCACTGTTGTATGTAGTGCTTAGTTCATTTACTTGAATGGCTATAAGCAGTGATTCTCAAACTTTTTCCAGCTTGGGGCCCCTTTGTGTAATTTAAAAATTATTAAGAATCCTAAAAAGTTTTTGTTAACGTATGTTTTATCTATACTTGGTATTTTAAGTCTAAAACAAATTTTAAATATTAACTCATTTTAAAATGAGAAATAAAAAGAAAATAAATACATTAACAAACTTTATTTTCAATAATAA